TGTACTCTTAATAGAGGCCATACCATGCCTATAGAAGCCTTTGAAGTCGCTGCAAATGAGACGAACGAGCCAAACAAAGCTAAATTAGAGCTTAAATTGATCATTTGGTTCGCGGCACTAATTTAGACATGCTTAACCTACAGTGTATGCAATTTCACCAAAATGACCTTACTATGTCTTTACTGTGGGTTAAATTAGCCAATAATGGTGACAAAAGCATGGTAAGCAGTCGAATCGGTTAGTTACTTCTATATTTCAGCGAAAAAGTAGCCCTTACGTGACATGTAATTTCAATATCTGTCTGGATTTGCAAAAACATAGTCACAGAATTTGACTTGTCATTGACAATCTTGATATAATTCTGTCCAAAAGCTAGCTTTCCACACGGCTTATCGTAGCTCAAATAAAAGGAAATAACTCTCCTGTATGCCTTTTGAGGCCAGGAAGACCGTCTTTTCATTGAGTCATGAATTTTACAATTTAATTGAGAGTGCTTTTAACATGAAATTGGAGTCTAAATCAGCACGAACGTACAGATGTCAAAACCACGGCGGAGACCTGATCTATAGCTTTCTAAATCGAGAATCGATTGAACTTTAAACAAACTAGGCCATGAATTAGCCAACACTCAACATGTCGTCGTTGCGTCAATTATCGCCTGGAAGCCACGCAAATAAGTTTCTTCCACCCTAGCTAGCGAATCACAGACAGTTCTGACAGTTAGCCACGCCGATAACGCCTAAAATTGATAAAATTAGGAAATTCTACTCACGATCAGCGCTTGACCTGATGTTCTTCACTCTGCTCGTGGCCATGTTTTACTCGCAAATAGCAATGTCCCGGATGTGCTTCAGTTTTGTCAAACACAAAATGGCATATCCAGACTTCAGCCAAATCAAAGTTCAGAGCAAATAACGCCACAGCAGTTCGAAATGTCTAGTCCATTGCACGCCTAAGCCCTAAATTGAAGTGGCTAAAGATCTTTGCTGTCTAAAGCAAGCACAACATTATTGCCACAATGCAAACGGCATAATAAAAACGGCCTCAAAAGCTCATTGGCTACTTTGTCATTGTACACAACTAAATATTGTTTCTTCTAGTTAATTTCTATCTGTTTTTCTTTCCTGTATCATTGTAAACTATCTAATGTTGAGTTGTTTTCTGTAAATAGTGTGCAATAATATAAAAAAACTGAAACTGAAACTAATACTACGGGGCTAGATGACGTCCCGTTTTAGTACATCTCTGGGCCCTCTCATGTACAATAATGGACAATGCTTGGTAACAATTCATTAGACTTGCACCTTCATTGGACTTAATGACTACCGTTAGACAGCAAATACAGAACACTAATCGGTCGGCTCCTTGTCAAAGTCACCGCTTGAACTGAATTCAGACGAGTGTACCCTAGGCTAAACTTAACACAAATTGAAAAGGGGGGGTAGATAAATAATTTTAAAAAAATAGATAAATGAAACATGCAGCCAGAAGTTCTCTACATTTCATGCTAGGTAAGATTTACAAGCTGCTGTCGTCGTAAAACCAAAAGAAAAATAAGAAAATTAAAAAAACACTTGACTCAGTCTTAAACACCGTTTAGCTAGATTAAATCACTTGTTTTTTCTGGTGAAAACAGCATGCATTTCAAACTCGCTATTAACTCA